ACGCCCATTTTCCAAAAATTTATAATATTCTTATTTTTCGTCTAAAAATTATTGTAAATATCAATTTTGAGTGAATTATCTTCAGTAGTTACTAAAATATCGCAGTTTTCGTATTTCTGGAAATTACCGTTATTGGGAAGTAGGCGTGGTTAAAGTCCGATTTCGTCCATTTTCAATACCAACCTACCTTGGATTAAGGGAAACGCACTTACCAAATTTCGTTGAGATATCTCAATTTTTGCTCGAGTTATCGTGTACACGGACAGACGGACAGACGGACGGACAGACAGACATGGCTTAATCGATTTCTTTTTTCATCCTGATCATTTATGTATACATTTGTCTATATCTATCTCGATTCGTTTTGGCTGTTACAAACAACCGTTATGTGAACAAAATTAATATACCCTTGTGCACAAGTGCGCTCGGGTATAAAAAATCTATATGTAAAGGGGGCGTGGCACTTGCCATACAAACCGAATTTCTCATGCTACATATCTCTGAAAGTGTGCATGGTATGGAGATATACGAAATCAATCGCATACCCTTGGAGAAAAATTTTAGTTATTGTAAAAAGGGGTGTGACCCCTTCACCCGAATTTCAAACCGAATTTTTCATACTGCCTATCTCTGGAAATTTTTTGGTAGAGCTCTAGAGTTTTGTATGGAGATGTACGAAATAAATCGCATACTCTTGGAGAAAAATTGGAACTATTGGAAAAGGGGGCGTGGCATCTTCCATACAAACCGAATTTTTCATACTGCCTATTTTGGAAATGTTCATGGTAGAGTTCTGGAACTTGGTATGGAGATATACGAAATCAATCGCATACTCATGAAGAAAGAGGGCATCTCTTGGAAAGGGGGGCGTGGCACCTCCCATATAAATCGAATTTTTATACTGCATATCTCTGAAAGTATTCATGGTACAGTACTGGAACTTCGTATGGAGATATGTATATAGTTGAAATCAAGCCCATACTCATGGAGAAAATTTGGGCTATTTGAAAAGGGGTGTGAGGCCTACAAACGTACCGACCTTTAGCTATCTTTGAATGAATTTTTTTATTCTTCTGTAGGTGTGTTTGTGAGTGAAATCCTCCTAAATGGTTGTACAGATTTTAACGAAACTTGTTGTGTATTTGAGTGGGTCTCTGGATGGTTTAGTTTCACAATTTAATCCGACAGTTGGCGCTGTAGTTGAGTAATTACTAAAAATCTTATTTATGATCCGATTTGGCTAATTTTTTAAATATGTATGCAAGACTATTGCAAAAACGTGCTGCCAAGTGGTGCTGAAGTCGAGCTATTACTGAAAAAAATAGCCAAGTGAGAAAAGGGGCCGTGAAGGTCAGATTAAATCGACCTGTTGCACCATTGAGTATATGGAACGCTCCTGCGTTGCAATTGGCCCAATGGATGTGATTTTCCAATATTATTATGCGTTCAAACTTTTAAGGTATTTCGTCTGAAATAAGTATATGTATATTGCATTTCTGTAGAACAATGATTCGCACCCATTTTGAAATTGCCACCTACTATACTGTAAAGCTTCTAGGACATTCACTATAGAACCGGGTCATTGTTGCCGCCAGGGAGTGAAGAGGAAAAAATTTATATCGCTTTGCGAATAACCGTGCTATGAAATGCCGCACAACTGGAGAATTTCAAGAACGGATATAACACTTTCCTTAGGTTATTTAAAGCGGCAAATGACCCCCAAACCTTAATCTTAGCAGACAAATGTGCCAATGAAAATCGTAAACGTGAATTGTTGGTGAAAATGTTGGACCAAAAAGTTTCAATAAAATATATAAAAATTTTGGGCGGGACGAAGTTCGCCGGGTCTGCTAGTCTTAAAATATAAGAGATTTTACAACTCCAATGGAAAAAAAATAGCACCGATTTTTTTTTTGTATGTGGAGTGATGCGGTCTAATGTACATACATACATTCTCACTTTCAGTCTCAAATTAAAGCAAAATTTAATACTTTCATGCAAGGCGAATTCATTCAAGGTGAAAGCGGCAACAAAACCAAATTTGCTACATCTAAAAGAGGCATAGATACGGTGACCATCCGTTCTGTTTTTTGCAGGACAGTACTGTTTTTCAAAGGTCGGTCCTGCGTAGTTTTTCAAACCTGAAAAACCTCAAAATGTACTGCTTTTTTCCAAGTGTCCTGCATTTGTCCCGCATTTTATTCGTTATTTTAAAATTATCGGACAATGGATGGATTTTTTCAAAAAAAGTGTTTCTTGGTACTTTTCGTAGCTTTTCTTCAATATCTCATGAAAAAATCTCCCAATCAACGTAAGCGACTTACATCTCGAAGGATATTGATGTGCCTCTTACCAAAATATATAACTTGTGGCGACTTCAATGAAAATTATTAGTGCTACAGGCGACCATTTGCATTTTGTCGTCACAGTCGAAAAAAGTGAGATTTTCAATCAAATACGCAGTTTTATTTGATTATTTTTTTCATTAGTTTAAAAATTCGATAAAGAATATATATCATTACAGTAAATTTTGGGCCAAAGATAATGAATATCGGATTAGAAATGTAAATGCAATGGAGTGCAATCTGCACAAATTATATATTTTTGTAAAGGGCACATAAATACCTTTGTAACTCGTCGTTTATGTCGATTCATGACGTCGATTTTTGACAAAGTACAAAAAACAAAAAAGGGTATTGTTTTCGTTTTGAACGACTCAAAATTTGCCTATACAATAATCTTTTAAAGATTTTCACTTTTCGTGTAAGCTATTGTAATTATAATATGTTTTACTATACTTTGATAAATATTCATGTAAAAAAGATTAATATCGATGAAGAAAACGTGATTCGTTTTTAAAGTTTAAAATGTATTAAGAATTTAGAATCATAAATACTCTTTTGATATTTTTATACATACTACGTAAATATATGTAGGCATATTTTTGAAAAATTGTCCTTCATTTTGAATCCATATTTATGGTCACCGTAGGCATAGAGCATCCGCTAAGACCAAAATAATACGAGGTCATTTAATGAACATCGAATCCTTCGAATTCGGATGGATTATTGCATTCATAGTCCTGCAAAATACTTAAGAAAAAAAGTTAATTAAAGTAAATTTAAAATTTAAATTTAATTGTTTCAGTAGGAGGAAAGCAGCTAATTGTTTCACAAAAATTCTAGATTGTCAAAATTAAACTTTTTTTAAGAAGGACTGATTGAAACACGGATTTTGGAACGTTCGCCTATCTCTGGAGCACAAACGCTGGTTATTGAG